ATGTAATAGAGCTTTTGAGGTAGATACTATTATTATTCCTGTTTACAAATGGGAAACTAAGATTCCAAGATGAAGGAACTAACACAAAGTCATACAGCTTTGGAGGGTCTGGGGCTGGATTTTAAATCTAATTAGTCTGGATACAGAGTCTATGCCCCATTATTATTTTGCTGTATTATGCCTTTGATAAATGATGTATGATTTCTGACTTGAATTAAAAAGTTTTTAATGTTTTGCTAGTTTTAAATGCTATTCAATTTTTTGGTATATCATTTTTTTCATATTTAAGTTGTTTGCTTCTCTTTTTTAATGTTCTTAATAATGATGTCTGAATTTTATCATATACTACTTCATCTATTTATATAACCATATGATTTTCTCCTTTGGTTGTTTTGATGTGATTGTTTTAACTTTCCTGCTGTTGAATAATCCTTGAATTACTGTTGCAAACCTTACTTGATCATAATATACTATTCTTTAGGCAAATTACAAGATTGTTTGCTAATATTTCATTGAGAAGTGTACAGTCAACATGTTCAGTGGTCTGCAGTTTTCTTCTTTTGCATTTTCTTTGTCAGGTTTTAATAGTAAGGCAATATTGGGCCCTATAAAATGAATTGAGATTTTTACTCTTTTGTTCTAGATTACTTCAAATAATAGTTGAGTGCTGGTTTGTTTTCTAAGCATACTTATCTGTAAAGCCACCTGGATTTCATATTTTTTTTTTTAAATGGCAGCTCTTCCTAATCTTTGTATGTTAATACATCTATTCAAATTTAATTCTTGGTTTGCTTTTAATAAATCATATTTTACCAGGAAATTGTCCATTTACTCTAGAGTTTTAATTTTCTTGCTTTTAAGAGTTACATCTAGTATTTGTTGTTACAGGCTTAGTAATCTTTCAAAATTCTCCTTTTTCATCCTGACTTCTGCATGCCTTTTTCTTTCTTATTAGATTCTTGAAGGTTTATATCTTTTTATCAAAAATTAATTTATGTTTATCAGTTTTTCCTCAATTTTATTTTCAGTAATGTATATTTTAGCTTTCTATATTCCATTATTATACTTTGGTTTATCTTTCTAAAAAGTTTCTCAGGGACAGAACTAAATTATATTTTTAGGGTTTTTTTTTTTTTTTAAATTAAGTCTATAAGCAATAAGACCATTGAGTATGAATGGTTTCTCCTACATTTTTTTTCTGGACAACTTGTAATTTTAATTTCCAGCTGGAATCTATTTTTCTTTTGGGCCGTATGTAGTAACCTTTTTATTTATTTTTACTTTGTAGACTTTAAATTTTATTTGTTTGTAATTAGCATAAGGACTGTAAAATCAGTACCTTTTGAGTTGAAAGGTCTTTTTTCTTGATTCTGGTAGCTAAATTAAAAGATCAAATTTTGTTAAGAGTTCCACAGACACAGCAAAAATTGTGTTTTTTGCTCCAGAAATATGTAAATAGCTCTTAAACTGTATTAATTTCTTTTATGTTTTTCTTTTTTACCTTGAAAAGTATACTAGAAAATTTCAGTATAATTCTATTTTTGTAATACTCTCCTTTCATTGTAATAATTTTTCCTTTTATTATTTAATTGTTGTTTTGCTTCTATCTTTCTGTTTTAAACTATTTTCACCCTATTTTTCTTTGGTCATAATAAATGGAATTCTGTTTTGTTATAGTAAACATTTATTTTATGTTTAATGTATTAATAATTTTACATCTGCAATCTCTGTTGCTTTTATTTTTTTTCTCCCAATTGTTTGTAATTTTGGTTGGTTGATTTATTCCTGAATATATTTTCCTTGCTTTCACTACTTTAAAGATGTCAATCCACTGACTTCTGGCTTATATAGTTTCTAATGAGAGGTCCGCTATCTTTATCTTTGCACCTAAGTAAGTGATGTATCTGTTTTTCCCTCTGCCTTTAAGACTTGGCCTTTATTGCTGGTTTTTAGCAGTGTGATCATTATGTGCTTTTTTTTCCCTTTTCTTTTTTTATTGAAATATACAGAGCTTTTATTTATTATTATTATTATTATTATTATTATTTGAGACAGAGTCTTGCTCTGTTGCCCTGGGTAGAGTGCAGTGGTATTGTCATAGCTCACTGCAACTTCAAACTCCTGGATTCAAGAAATCCTTTTTCTTCAGCCTCCCAAGTAGCTGGGACTACGGGCACATGCCACTTCGCCCGGCTAATTTTTCTGTTTTTAGTAGAGACCAGTCAAGCTCTTACTCAGTCTGGTCTTGAATTTCTGAACTCAAGCAGTCCTCTTGCCTTAGCCTCCTAGAGTCCTAGGATTACATGTGTGAGCCACTGAATCTGGCCCATGATACGGTTTTTCATGTTTTTATTTTGAGATATTATCTTCAAGAATAATTATATTCTTACATCTCTGAGTCAAAGTTTTAATTAAAGTTGGAAAAACCTGGTCATTAGTTTTTTATTTTTATTTTTTTTTTCAGAGCATAAGAGTCTAGATAATTTAAAACATTTTTTTCTGATTCTCTTAATCTCCTTGGAATTAAGTTACACATACATTAGACCACTTGATAATTATTTCACAGGCAGTAAACCTGTGATTCTTTTGGTGGGGGCAGGGAGCATTTTTTGTTCATCTACATGTTTTTTTGTTTGTCATCCTTCAGTTTTATCAGATTTTTATTCATGTGTTTTGAAGCTGTCTTATTAGGTATATATGTGGTTATAATTATATGTTCCTGAGAATTGAATTGAGATTTTTATTTTTATAAAAATACTCACTTTTTTTGTTTTTTTAAAGAAATGGGTCTCGCTCTGTTACCCATGCTGAAGTGCAGGGACCCAGTCATACCTCATTGCAGCTCAAACTCCTGGGCTTAAATTTTACTTCTGCCTCAACTTCCTAAGTAGCGGGGACAACAGGCACACTCCACCATACCTGGCTAATTTTTTATATTTATGTTTTTGTAGAGACCAAGTCTCAAGTTGTTGTCTAGGCTGGTGTTTAACTCTTGGGCTCAAGCTATCCTCCTGCCTTGGCCTTGGCCTCTCAAGGTGCTGGGATTACAGGTGTGAGCACCTGTACCTGGCAGAAAAATTCACTTTTGTCTCTAATAATTATCTTAGTGTAAAGATCTGTCTTATCTGATATTTGTATAGCTACTCTAGCTCTTTTATTTGTTTTTTATTTTTTAAATTCTTTTATAAAATAATTTTATTTTAACATTTTTTTAAAAAAATTTTTTACTTAAAAATTTATTCATTTAAAAAAATTCTTCTTAACTGTCCTCAGAAACTATCTAGCTCTTTTATAATTACTGTTTCCATGACTTTTCCATCTTTTTTCCCCCCATCCTGTTATGTGTCTTTGATTTGAAGTGTGTCTATTGTAAACAATATACAGTTAATCTTTTCTTATCTGGTGTGACCATCGGTGTCTTCATTTATGTGCTTAATTCAGTCTTACTATCATTGATATGATCAGATCCATGTTGGTTGTTTTGCTATTTGTTTTCTGTGTAGCTCATATTTTTTTTTGTTCATTGGTTCTTACTTGCTTTCTTTTGAATTAAATAATTTCTTAGTGTACCATTTTAATTCCTTTGATCATTTTACCATAACTTTTGAGTTAATTTCTTAGTGATTGAGTTAGGGATTACATTATGCATCTTAGTTTATCACAGTCTACTTCAAATTACTAACTTGAGTAAAATAGAAATTTTGCTCCAATATGGCTCCCCACCCTCTTTTGTGCTACTATTGTTGTATACATTATGGATGTATATGTTATATAGCTGTGTTTTATAAACACAGCAGTACAGTATTATAGTTACTGCTTTATACATTTTTATGGTTTTTAAAGAAGAGAAGAAAGAAAAATACATTTATAGAGTCATTTATATTAACCATTTTAATTGCTATGGATGCCAGTTATGGTTTAATGTCATGTCCTTGTTCCAATATACCTCCGTTCTATGAATTGTCTTTTTTTTTTTTTAATATCAGACTTCTTTATTTTTCCAACACAACTGAAACAGTTTTATTAAATAAACGCTTATTGTCTACTGTTTACACGTGTGTTGCTGCTATAAGTACAACACACACAAATTCCTAGCATCAGTTACTCATTGTTCACCCCCACTGAACTACAGACATTGCTTGAGAATTAGATCTTTGCTTTACATATTTAAAAAAAAAAAAAGAGCCGGGCGTGGTGGCTCACGCCTGTAATCCTAGCACTTTGGGAGGCCGAAGTGGGCGGATTGCTCAAGGTCAGGAGTTCGAAACCAAGCCTGAGCGAGACTCTACCAAAAATAGAAATAAATTAATTGACCAACTAAATATATATATATATACAAAAAAAATTAACCGGGCATGGTGGCGCATGCCTGTAGTCCCAGCTACTTGGGAGGCTGAGGCAGTAGGATCGCTGAGCCCTGGAGATTGAGGTTGCTGTGAGCCAGGCTGACGCCACGGCACTCACTCTAGCCTGGGCAACAAAGTGAGACTCTGTCTCAAAAAAAAAAAAAAAGAAAGAAAAGAATTGGGGCATAATATCTTGAAAGAGTATTCTCAAGTGACTGGCTGGAGTTAGAAGGCATAGCCAATACAGTCTAACAGCACTCATTATGCTGGTGCACTTGGAAGAGAAGGAGTAATGACAACCAGGAAGAATAATTTGAAGCAGTTGTTTCTAGTGACAGAAATAACTTGATGCATGATTTTGCCCATCTGGGCTAAATGGCTGCTTGGAAAAGGGGCAAATAAAAAGAGGGGGTGTGGGGATACTATGAGTTAAAAAAATATAAAAAGTAATTATCTGAAATATAGATTAGATATAAATGTTCCAGAACTCATTAAGCTTAAAAATACTGGAAAGTGGCAGTTTGAATTACATTTATTTTTAAACAAGTAGGGGGAATATTAAGTGTTTTTTGAATGTTGTGTGCAAAACTAACCCATGTCACCATCTCACTGTCATGATTGAACACAGCAAGGTAGATACATTGGTTTCCAGCATTACAGGCAACACTAGATGTATATTTTGTAATGAATAATGTAAACTTTAGTTTTAAGGCAGCTGGACTAATGCTGTACACAGGCTTAGCTCGGTGCCCATTTCAGAAGTGGGACAGTCAGCACTTGAAGACAAACTGTGAGGGGGGAAGGGAATCACCAGCATTATTTGAAAAAAAAGTGTCAAAATATTTCCCTTTCATACGCACAAAAAGAAATATTTGAATGTTTAGAAAAACAAAGCACCCATCCCGCCAACTTCGGCCTGTTCCTTAACAAATATTTCGAAATACTGATAAATAATAGTGACTGCAAGCAGAATTCCAGTACCAGAGCCAATGGCCCCTAGGAAGTCGGCTAACACTGACAGGGCGCCAATGCACAAACTGCCAAATGCAGCTGCTGTGGGGATGTACCTATTAAGCTCATGACCATAGAGGTATCTCTGTGACCCCTCATTACCATTTGCTGTTCTTTAAGCTATTTGGCTACATCTTTGACTGAGGAACCAGACACCTCTAGCCATGTCTTAGAAAAGAATGCACATGATCCCAACATGAAGATGACATAAACAACTACATGGACAGGATCCTCAAATATGGCACGCATGGACTCAGGAGGAGAAAGGTAGTAACACAGGCTTCCAACTGGGTACGAATGAGCAGGTCCTCCCCCGCTGACATCGGCCCACTGTCTCAGTAAATTTGCTAAAAAGTTGCCACTAAATTGAACAGATAGCATCTGGGAAATAACATACAGGTTGGAAACTAAGGCAGACTGGAGAATAATGGGAATGTTTGAGGTGTAGAAGAGCTTGATGGGATAGCTGCTGTACTGTCCTCGATAGCGGGCCGACTTAATGGGCAAGTCAAAACGAAATCCCTGAAAATATATAATAACAGCAAACACAAAAACTGTAGCAGTGAGTTTCATGAGATTGGGTACGTTCTGCCGATAAAAAGCCTCCCATAAAGCTCAGACTTTGTCCTGGTGGCTAACAGATGAAACAGAGCTATGACTGCCACCTCAAATTCGGTACCTCTACCAGTGTTAATGGTAGTGGGACTAAAGGCCTTCTAGACAATGGTCTCCTAGATGTTGGTGGCAATAAAGAGGGAAATACCAGACCCCAAGCCGTAATCCTTCTGTAGCAGCTCATCTAACAGCAGCATAATCAAACCAGCTACAAACAACTGAATAATGATAAGAAGACAGATCCCAGCACCCATTTCTGCAGGGTCCCTGTACATCCCCGTCATGACATACACAATGGCTTGCCCAGTGGTAATGATCATACCAAATAGTTTCTGGGCTCCATTGAATAAAGCTCTATCTTTGGGTCTATCTCTAACTTCAGTGATTTTGGCTCCAGCTAACAACTGCATAATCAAACCAGATGTGACAATTGGGGAGATATCCAATTCCATTAAAGTTCCTCTGTTGGATGCAAGAATAACTCTCATCCAGTAGAAAGGATCTGCAGAATCTGATGACATGATTCCAAATAGTGGTATCTGACAGCACACTAAGAAAATGAAGAGAGTTATAGCAGTCCATAATACCTTCTCTCTAAACTGGATTTTCCTTTCAGGTTTCTGAATTTCTGGTAGAACTGCACAAAAAGGTTTGATAACTTATAAAAATTTGATGCCCATGGCAGTGCCTGGGGAGGCCTGGCAGGGCGTGGCGGCCTCTGTGCTGCCTTTGCTCTACTTCCCCATGCAGTTGTCTTTTAAATACATGAAGGAAGCCGGGTGTGGTGGCTCACACCTGTAACCCTAGCACTTGGGAGGCCAAGGCAGGAGGATCTCTTGAGGTTAGGAGTTCCAGACCAGCCTGAGCAAGAGCAAGACCCTGTCTCTACAAAAAATAGAAAAATTAGCCCGGTGTGGTGGCGTGAATCTGTAGTCCCCGATACTTGGGAGGCTGAGGCAGGAGAATTACTGGAGCCCAGGAGTGTGAGGTTGCAGTGAGCTATCATCATGCCACTGCACTGTATTCTGGGCAACAAAGTGAGACCCTGTCTGAATGAATGAATGAATGAATGTAAAGTAAGTAAAGTGAGTTAGTAAAGTAAATAAATTGAAGAAAAGAGGAAAAAGTACATAATACATTTACCTGTGTAATTAACCGTGCTACTACTCTATTTCTTTATATGCATTGGAGTTACTGTTTGAGTCTGAAGAACTTTAATATTTCTGGTAAGGCAGGTTGACTAGTAGTGAATTTTCTCAGTCCATATTTATCTGGGTATCTCTTTATTTCATTTTCATTTTTACAGGTTTTTTTTTTTGTTTGTTTGTTTTTTTGAGACAGAGTCTCACTTTGTTGTCCAGGCTAGAGTGAGTGCCATGGCATCAGCCTAGCTCACAGCAACCTCAGGCTCCTGGGTTCAAGCATTTCTTTGGCCTCACCCTCCCGAGTAGCTGGGACTATAGGCATGTGCCACCATGCCCGGCTAATTTTTTCTATATATGTATTAGTTGGCCAATTAATTTCTTTCTTTTATAGTAGAGACGGGGTCTTGCTCTTGCTCAGGCTGGTTTCGAACTCCTGACCTCTCAAGCAATCCTCCCGCTTTGGCTTCCCAGAGTGCTAGGATTACAGGTGTGAGTCACCGCGCCCGGCTTAGATTTTGATGAATATAGAACTCTTGGTTGATAATTTTTTTATTTCTTTTCCTTTGTACATTTTTATTGGTGTTTCTACTTAGCCTAATTTTTTTCTTTATTTCTTTATTAATACATTATAGTTGTAGATACTTTTTTCTTTTACCATATTGAATTATGTGCCTTTGGTCCTTTGTTTCTGCTCAATTCACTGTTAATCTTAACTGTTCCCATGTATGTTATGAGTCATTTTTCTCTTATACCCCTTTCAGAATTTTATTGTCTTTGACTTTCAGCAGTTCAACTTTGTGTATCTTTTTTTTTTTTTTAGAGACAGAGTCTCACTCTGTTGCCTAGGCTAGAGTGCCATGGCGTCAGCCTAGCTCACAGCAACCTCAAACTCCTGGGCTCGAGCAATCCTCCTGCCTCAGCCTCCCAAGTAGCTGGGACTACAGGCATGTCCCACCATGCCCAGCTAAATTTTTCTATATATTTTTAGTTGTCCAGCCAATTTCTTTCTATTTTTAGTAGAGATGGGGTCTCGCTCTTGCTCAGGCTGGTCTCGAACTACTGAGCTCAAACAATCTTCCTGCTGAGGCCTCCCAGAGTGCTAGAATTATATGCGTGAGCCACCATGCTCCGCCTAACTGTGTGTATCTTTAGAAGATAAATTAATGCTCATGAGTTTTTTGTTTGTTTGTTTGTTTGTTTTGAGACAGAGTCTCACTTTGTTGCCCAGGCTAGAGTGAGTGCCGTGGCGTCAGCCTAGCTCACAGCAACCTCAAACTCCTGGGCTCAAGCGATCCTTCTGCCTCAGTCTCCTAAGTAGCTAGGACTACAGGCATGCGTCACCATGCCCGGCTAATATTTTCTATATATATTAGTTGGCCAATTAATTTCTTTCTATTTATAGTAGAGACGGGGTCTCGCTCTTGCTCAGGTTGGTTTCAAACTCCTGAAGTCAAACTATCTGCCCGCCTTGGCCTGCTCCTGAGTTTTTGTAAGAGCCACAAAGGCCAAATATTTTCCTCTGTATTTTGTTTTCAAATACTTTGTTCTGAAATAAGATGTGTTATAAAATATTTTCTGTCTGGTAATTCTTAAAAATTCCACTTAAAAAATTTCTGGTTTGGTTAGGCAGGGTAGCTCATGGCTGTAATCCTAGGACTCTGGGAAGAGAAGGTGGGAGGATTGTTTCAGCTCCATAGGTCGAGACCATCCTGAGCAAGAGTGAGACCCTGTGTCTACTAAAAATAGAAAAAATCAGCTGGACGTAGTAGTGCATACCTTTAGTTGCAGCTACTTGGGAGGCTGAGGCAGGAGGATTGCTTCAGCCCAGGAGTTTGAGGTTGCTATGAGCTAGGCTGATGCCAGGGCACTCTAACCCTGGCAATAGAGCAAGACTCTGCCTTAAAAAAAATAATAATCCTGTTCGAACAACAGTATTATTCCTTAATTAGCAATTATTTCACTTTGGGGGGGAAGAGGTCATCATTTTATTATTTTTAAAGGATTATTGAATTACACCCATATATATAGTCAGTTGTCTCGGCCCGCGGGACCTTTTGTTACTCGTGGGGTTAAGGGGGGGACCGTGCCTGAAAGAGATGGGCGAGAGAAAGGAACGAGACCAAGCAAAGGGTTGTCAAGGTCTACTTTACTTGGATTCTTTGTAGGTTTTATAAGCATACAGAAACAAGGAAGTAGAAACAGAAAAATAGAGTGGGGCGACGATGAGGCTTGGGTCTGGGTTAATCAGCTCTAATCAGCGTCTTACCGGTATTTTGTTTGTGACTGATTACTCAACCCCAACCTGGCAGGTGGTCGGGAACAATTGCAGTCAGCACTCTCTGGAGCATCCCGTGGTCAGCACGTCATGGAATGCATTCTTTTCGGAGCTATAGCTGGAATTTTCCAGGGCGAAGCCCATGCGTAGGACCAGTCATAGGGGAGTTGAGGGTCTTTGAGGGTCTTTGCCTCTAACATCTCCCCCTCTCTTTATTAATATGAGGGAGATTTATATAGGTGGGTGGAGAGCTTGTCTTAGGCTACGCGATGGGCTTCTGCGACCAGCACCCCAAATATAAGATTGGGCGATTAACGTGAAGGTGAGGCCTCTGTCTTAGGCTATGTAGGTGGCATTTAGCTCTGGCACTTCTGATTATGAAGTGTGCCCCCGGGCATGGACCTACAATATTTCTGTCATGGAGTCACCTCACTGTCAGCGGGGTGTGCATCTGGTACATGGCATCACGATAATCCCGTCATGGGCGTCTCCACAGCCTTTGGAACCAATTGCGTTCCATATCTGAGGCAAGGTTTGAGAAATTTAGACTCTCAGTGGGTGTATTGGGAGACTCTTTACGGAGGTCTTTTCTGGAGCCTGTTTGTTCTAGCTGTTGGTAAAACACGGAGACCGATTTTTGTGTGGCTGCGTCTACCTGTGACTTGACAAAATCAGTTAGTTTTTTGAATGCCCAAGGCCTAAAGGTGAGGAGTAACAGAAAACCTATAAACGGCCCTAAGACACTGGGAAGCAATGTGGATAGCCAGGGGGATGTAGAAAACCAATTTTGATATTACGCTTTACTCTGTTTTTTTTTTTTTTTTTTTTTTTTTTTTTTTAGGCTTTGTCTAACCCTTTTAATGCTATCTTTTACCAGACCTGTTTTGTCTGCATAAAAGCAACATTTTTTTTTAAGTGCTGCGCACAAACCTCTCTCTTGGAGGAACACTAAGTCTAGGCCTCTTTTATTTTGTAACACTACCTCAGAAAGTGAAGCGAGGGATTCTTTGAGATATTTTAGGCCCTGCTGTAGCTCTCGGAGATTGTTATCGATGGCAGCAGAGAGCTGTAGATATTGCTGGTTGGAGGTGACTAGAGAGGCTATGCCTGTTCTAGCCCTTGTTGCACTAAGGCCTAGAACAACTGCGAGTGTTATGGCCGTGATGGGCTCTCTCTTTTCTCGGGGCATTGTGGTGCCGCGCTCCCAGAATTTGAGCAATTTGTCAGCAGGACGTATAGTGAGTCTGGGGAAGAGCATGACTAACACACAATATTTTCTATGCTCAAGAAACGTTGCAGTGACTACATACGGGGTAAGGCCGGAAGAACAAGCAAAATAAGAGGTGTTAGATGCCTGAATATACTGAAAGGTGGAGTCAACAGTAATTGACTGATTGCATATTTTTTTTAAGGGTGCGGGGGGAAGCATTTTTGGGCTAAGAAGGCAAAGGCCTACGCCTGTGATTTGGCTGAGTGTCAGGCTATCATGGGTCTCTAGGCCCCATCTGAGTTTGCTGGTGTCGTTAGTAAATAATGGTTTATTAAATGTAGCGACACCTTTATAGAAGGGAGGCCGGGGGGAGTAGCATAGCCAACACTCTTGATATTCTGAATTGTTGGCCTCTTGGATGGTCCTGACAGAGGTGTTGACTAGGGTGAGAATTAGTTCTGCAGAGGAGGGGGGGCCCCTCGGGCAGGGTAGGTTGGTATAGGGAGGTGCTAAACGGAAAAGGGGACACAGCTGGGGAGGAGGGTAGGCCCCTGGAGGGACTGCGAGGTCGAGGTGGGTGTAGGTTGTGGTTAGGACCTATTGCCACCGACCGTATGACCTCTGGGGAGGCTTTTAATTAGTTTGATTTTAAATGTGAGACCAATGTTTTTCTCAGATATGTGAAGCCTAAGCCCCCACTCAAATCCCCTGGACTGATCCCAAGAAGCCCTTTTTCTAGCTTTGGTGAATGAAATTAACAGGGGGTTGCACCACTGGTTGTTACACTGAGGGTCAGTGGGCGGTTGTGGGGTGTAAGGGGACGAAGGGGCTTGACGGGGAAACCGCTTTTTGACGGTGATATAATCCCAGGAAGAGGAGGGATTCTAGTAGGCATTACCGGTGGTCTTACAGCCCCAGGAAGCACAAAAGAAGTCAGGGGCGTAACCACATTGGTAGTTGTTGGTGCGAGGTCGATGGGCCCCTGGGCAAACATAAAAGTCTTTATATCTCGTCGCAGAGCGTCTGGCTCCCGAGGAGCAAAAGCCTGGGGAGGAGTCAGTCGTAGGAGGAGCTGGCTGGGGGACGTAAAGTGTGGGAAGGCCCCACGCAGGGTCTTTAGCCCCAAGAGCTAATACGCATAGGTCG